AAAAAAAAAAAAAAAAAAAAAAAAAAAAAAAAAAAAAAAAAAAAAAAAAAAAAAAAAAAAAAAAAAAAATTAATAAATGATCACGATCTAATATAGTTAATAATAATTATTTATACCATAGTTATCTGACGTATCATGTTTATATAAAGAATCATCAATTTCGTAATCGGATAAAAAGTTATGTGATAATCTATTAGCCCATTCGTCAGTTATTTCATCCCGTTTATCAATTAAAAAGTCAGGTAATAATCTATTAGTCCATTCGTCAGCCATTTGTAATATATCATCCCATTTATCATTTTCTTTTTTAATATGCACTTCTTCAACAAGTTGCACCGCCTCTAGAAAATTGGATGAATTAGGAACACAACGAGATTTACGTTTTCTGGAGTATATGTATTGTCTAGCATCAAATGTATTTGGTGTTTCGACTCGAAATATATCTTCAGGTGAGTATAAAGTTTTTTTCAAAATTGAATCGTAAAACTGCTTGTCCTTTTGTCTTTGAAGTTGTCTTTGGAAATACGACTTTGGTGTTTCGACTCGAAATAAAGATTCTTGTCTTTGGAAGTACGACTTTGGTGTTTCGTAAAACTGCTTGTCCTTTTGTCTTTGAAGTTGTCTCCGGAAGTACGACTTTGTTGTTTCGTTTTTAAATTTTGTCTTCATTATTGAATAAAAAAATCGCCTATACTTTGTTATTGGAGTTTTAATTTATCCGTAGTATGTATACGTAGTATGAATTGGCTTTATTGGATATATATATATATATATACCTTTTTTTTTTCTTGCAAATTTAACTTAAAAAGTCAAAATGACAGAATATGTAACTACTTTTCACTTCACCATACGGATATTTATACTCCGATTTACTATCATTTTAATTTATATTTTCTTTTATATCTTCGTTTCCTTACATTCTTAAGAGAAATGTTATCAAATGCATGTCAGTAAATATGGTATGGAGTTCGCAATCCGATTGGTTACACATAAAATTTAGAATGTTAATAATACACAAAGATGTAGAAAATAGTACTTTCATTTATTAATTTTCCGAGTGCTCTTCAAACAATCGAACTTACAGGAATGGAGCGATGAAATCATGAAATGTATGGTTTATGAAGAAAAAAATATTATTTCCTTTGTTTTGCATATTGATCACTTTTCAGAGGGTATCAGAAGATCATTATTTCGAATACGAGTGTCATGAAAAATTAAAAATATATGGAGATTTATAATTTTCAACCGATCTATTTTTCCATATAAATTTATATATCGTGAAGAACACAATTTTTTGCTGTGTGTGACGCATTTATGCAGGAGATCTACTGCCAAAATTTCCTTTAATTCTGAGAAAGGAAACTTTTATAACAGGTATATGGAAGTTGAAACTGCTATTGTAATTGCTATAATTACACGGCTGCACATTTTTTGTTTTTTTTTTAATTGATGGAAAAAAATCGAATGAAACATTAATTACATTAATTGATATAAAAGATTTCGTTTAACATTTTAATTTGCACTCTATCTAGCTTTGCGAATACATTTTTGCGTGTTTTATTATTATTTTTTTGGAGATGAGTGATAATCATTGATCGCTAACGACCTTAATAAAAGATCGTGGCGGAAAAATTTGCTATTAAAATTTATATCTATGCGATAATGAATTACGATTATGACTTTATTCTGCAATAGAATCATGATAAACAAGATTTTAGGACCAAGAACAATAGGAAAAAATTGCTTTGAAATACAGTTTGCAACTAAGTCGATAACTACGTATAGTGAAAAATTTCTTAAGAGCATTGCTTTGAAATACAGTATAAAAAATGTAGTGAAATGAGGCCGAGAATTCTTGTTTATATACTCTATTCAGTAATTCTACTTAAAAAAATTATTAAGAGTATCACTCAGAAATACGATATAAAAATGTAATGAAACGAGGCCGAGAGTTATAAAAACTTCTGTCTGTATACCTATATAATTCAACTTATTACTCTGAAAATGAGGTCTAGTTTTCTGACAAAAATTTAGATTTATTATTCAATTGTAAAAATTTTAATTAACATAAATGGTTATTTCTTCTTTAATATTCGAATTATCATTTTGTTGCTTTGATTTCTCTTTTCTCTTTTTTAACCATGATAAGTATAATCCTTTTCTATATTGATGTTGATAAGTAATCCATAACTTTGAAATTTTATAAAATCTTTTACTAATGCAATAAATAAATAGATAGGGTCTATGATAAACCACACTAATAGAAGTAGCCATGATAATTTTATACGCAATTTATGGTTAGTACACCAATTTTCCTGCCATGAATTCGAAACTTCGATATGATCACATAAAATTATTTGATGTCCAGGACCGACAATTTGATATTTTAAATATGTAAACGCAAGTGGTATATTAAGGCAAGCTCCCAATCTACAACAAAGATATATAGTTAGTTTTTTATAAGAATTTATTTTTTGCAAAAAAAAAAAAAAAAAAAAAAAAAAAAAGTATTTACAATTGAAATTTAAAAAAAGCTTTCCAATCTTCTATGAAATAATTCAAAAAAATTAAAAGAATAGTTGACAATGCGCTAAAATATAAACCAATAGATGACAATATGCTAAAATATATATAAATATATTTAATACAGAATTGAATTAAAATTTAGTCAGAATTAATATAAGTAAAATTCATACTAATCATTTCCATTTGCTGCACTTAAAGTTGTCTCGTTTTGATAGTAATTTTCCAACATAAGGCCTGATTTAAAATCTACATATGTATGTACATATTAATTATATAGAATTAATATTTAATATTTAGATTAAATTAATTAATAATTATAAATCATACCATAAATAAAGAGGATCGCTAAAACCACATATACAAGTATGTTAATAAATAGTATCAATTGAAAACTTTTTAATACTACTGGAACATATTCGTCATATTCGTCATAAAAGGTTTTTGTTCTTGGTTGACGTGGAATCATTTTTAATATCTTTGAGATAAATATTTAGTTACGAATTAATAGCTAAACTAAGTACCTATTTATAATATAATAAGATTTCTTTATATACCTAAAATAAGCTATCTATATTATTTATCCTTGTGATTCTGCGTTATATATGCCCATTCTTTTAATTTCCATTTCGATGCTTACAAATTAGTAATAATAATAATATTCTGATCCGTTAAAATGAAGTTTCGATCAGGGTATGTTAAGTGAAAAAAAAATTCATTGTGCTCATGTGCGCTACGCACTTAAAAATTTTTGGGGCACAAAAAAATATACAGACTTGCGTGCGCAAAAACGTTGATGCAATCAAATAGCATGAACTAAATTTCGAACTTGAATTTTTTTCATTGGATATACCGTATTTTCGCAGTAATAATTCACATCAATATATGCTAGACATAGCATACATGGCTTCAAAATGACGCCTATACGCATCCCGACATAACGCGTATATATATAAGTTTATAAAAATAAAAATTATATTCTATTAGATTAAGAAGTATTCCTTATAAGTTAAGTATTAAATGTATTGCTATATATCCGGTGTTACTTTCGTATGGAGGAACATTTGCCAAATAGGGCCGAGTTTAGTCAAATAGTAAGCTTTAAAATAATGAGAGTAGCAGGTAAACATGGAATTGGAGATAAATATATAATAAATAGGATGAAAATAGTAGATGATTATGGGTAATAAATAGAATAGATAGAAAGCTAGGGATTTTATGAGTATTAATTTAAAGGGATCTAATTTTTTATGCCCCAGATTTGAGTGCTCTAATTTCCCCCACCACTTCTGATTGGCTGTACTAATTACTCACTCATTGGAGCCAATCAAATTTAACGATCAGATGTAACGTAAAAGAAACGTAAAAATACAAAAATCGCTCATAACTTTAAATTCAACTTATGAAACTGTCTTCTGCGCACTAATAAAAAGTTTCCTTGAAAAATTTTGGTATAAGAAATACCTTCTTATTATAACCTAATGACAAAATACTAACTCTAGCCCAACAGCGAGAATTTTTACTTGAAAATTTTTTTTGATTAATACTCTGATAATTAAATAATAGTATAGCCAATCAGAAGTGGTGAGGGAAATTAGTAAATCCCCCAGATTTAATAAGTATACCTCTGTGATATTGTTATTTTTTAAACTTTAAACAAAGATATCTCAGCAACCTCGATGAAATTTTTTTTTTTTGATAAATTTTTTTTTATTTGAATTCTATAGATTTGTAAAATGAAAAAAGTTCATCAAATTTGATCTAGTACTTGTCAAGATACCTTTATTCAAAGTTAATAAACAATTTAAAATGCTTATAAAATTAATATTATAGTAAAATTTTTTTAAAATTTTGAATAAAGATATCTTGATAACTACTAGACCAAATTTGATTAATTTTTGTATTTTTTTTTTTGTGTTAAAGGTGACTTATATTGCTAAAGGAATTTTATAGCAACATCAAAAAAGTTGAAGGAAACTATTCCTACCATATTTTATTTTATACAAGAAATATAATCGTACTAGTATATAAATCTATTTTTTTTTAGTTATACTGTCAATATTAAATTTAATTAGATTTAGTTTCTAAAAAACCAAATCTTATATAACTATCTTTAATATATTTTTCTTTAATAAACTAATTAAAATATTAATTTATATAATATTTGAAAGATATTACTAGAGAAAAACCAAGTGCAAATAAAATAACTTAAGCAATAGAGAATAATATATAATATCTAAATTTTTTGTAATATACATAATTGTGAATAATAAAAATATAAAAATTTATATGCTATAGCCTTTTATTTATTCAATTAATAAATACATATTTTTAAATAAATAAACTATTTTCTATTATAAGTTTTTATTACAGTAATTATTTTATTTCTACTTAAATTCTTTGATTCAATTCATAGTTTGTTCTTGATAATAAAACAATATTACAAAATTACAATATTTTAATACTTTATTTTTTTTTGTTAAAAGCTTTTAAAATCAGAATAAAGTTGTTAAGAATACTTATATTATATAAAAAACCTTTGCAAATTGTAAAATATAAAGCTCTATTATATTACTAGTACTATAAAATATAAAACAAAAAACTATTTTTAGTAAATAAAATTAATAGTAATAGTAATAGAAATCATTTGTATACTTTATATTCGATCATGTACTAACAAAAAGTATATATAGACTATGTATCTTCTCTCAATAAAAAACAACTCTTAGAATTGAAAAAACTTTCTGAGTCTTGAATTGTCTTGAATAGAAGTGTTTATCTCTAAATAAGTTTCCCTTTAAATTGTTATAAATTGTTTGTTGAATCGTTCGTTAATCTTTTCTATCTTATCCCCGTGATATTTTCTCATTCAATCCAGTTTTAAGTTATAGTAAAAGTATCCCAATTGTTATATCGCAACATTTTTATAGTACCTTAAATTGATAAACAATTGATCCAATATCGTAATTGTTAAATCGACCCACCAATAATTTGAGCCCTCGTGATACTTAAATCGAAACGTGATAATCTGATAACGTGACCAAGCAAAATAACATTCGTAAAGAAGACCAGTACCAATCCAAGAGAATCCAAAGACCCAATTCAATAACCAACAACTTACCTCAGTAACCCTAAACTCGGACTAA